TGCAGAAAAGGCAGGGTGGGGAGAGGAGGGGTCTGGAAGATTCATCGAATGGAAGGAGAAAGACTATTTCAAAATGATGAGAATGCTGATTTGAAAGGGGAAGAATGTTATCTGAGATCCGTTTAGGGTGAATAAGGCATGTAGGTCCATTTAAGGGAAAGAGTGTAAACAAAATAACGTTCGCAAAAAGCAACTGAGTGGTCTTTTGTGTGGGAACAGCATCAGTCTATGTACAATGACAAGGCCATCCAAACTATGTACAATGAAAAGTTATTCAAACTATGTACAATGGCCATCATAGGAGATATCTTATTTTTAGTGCACCTAAACGCCGCATCCGCAGAAAATTTAAGTTTTAAACATGAAACAGCGCAGCGTTTTTTCCAGAAAAAACGGTAAGTAACTTTTACCTTTTCATCAGTAAAAAATCACCAAATTGCACAAAGGCAATTGTTATATGTTAATATGTGAGTACTGAAAAATGTTATCCCTGTTCAACCCCTATTGTTGCATAAATAAAATGAAATGTAATTTTCAGACTTTCCCTTGTAGCTATTTCTAATGATATTATGAATTGATCAAAAAGCATTACAATAACATTTCCCTTAATTTATAAAAAATATATGATAAACCATTAATGTAATTTGCTTATGGTCACATTTCTACAGAACGTGCATATTTCATCATTATTTATTGAAATTGAAATTTCTTTTCAAGTGAGACATATGTCAATTGCATAAAATGAGAAGGAAAGCTAATTCCTTTTCACACACATTTCAGAAGGAAAAAACCGATTAGCCTCAAAATAATACATGTCTGCTTAAAGAAAAGAAATGCAGTTTCTTAAGCTAAGTTTCTGTAAATTAATTAAAATTCTGTGTCTATAAAAAAATATTGAAATAGAATGAGTAGAATTTTTTTGGTAAACTACAACAGTCACCAGGTATATTAGCAGCTTTAATATTTAAATACAAAATAACCAAAAAAGTTCTCGCCATTTTGGGCAGTCAGAAAGAAAAAGTTATAAAACAAATAAATAGTCACCAACTTAATCCTCAAAGTAATAACCATCGGCATCCAGTGCCTTTTGTCAACAATGGTTAGCTGTGGGATGCCATTGTGGTAAAACTCAGGAGTCTTGGACACAAAGAAATCCGTGAGGGCCTTTTTGAGGTCTGATCGTTGTTGAAGGATTTCCCACAAAGATGGTTATCCAGGGAATGGAAAAGGTTGTAGTCTGTTGGCACGAGGTCTGGGAAGTATTGTGGACGGGATAGTGTCTCTCAGCCCAATCGCTGAATGGTGTTCCTGGCCCCCAAGACACATGCGGCCTCGCATTGTCAATGCGGAGGAGTACAACCTTACAATTGACCAATGCTGGCTTTTTACACATCAGTGCCTGATGTACACATTCCAACTGCTGCAAGTACAGGCCTGCCGTGATGGTTTGGCCCACTGGCAGGAGGTTATAGTGCACCACTTGGTGACTAGTTCACCAGATACAGAGCATGATCTTGAATGGGCGAAGAGAAGTGTGAGGCACAGGGTCCCCTGGTTACAACCAATGTCTGGAATGCCTGGGTGTGTCAAAATGGACTCCCCTTTCATCGCTGGTGAGTACTCGATTAAGACTGTCCGATGCATCGGACAGTGAGTGGGGTACCCTTTTGCTTAGCTTGTATGCCTTTCCTATGTGGTGAAAATGTAGCCTGATGGTTTCACGAGATACCTGGAAGTGTGCAGCAAGCTCACCATATGTTTGGCTACTGTCACTTTCATTGGCTGCTCTCAGGGCCTCATTGTACAGCGCTTGTGGCTGACCGCTGTGTAGTGCATCACTAAAAGACGTATCCTCTGACCTGAACTTCTGGAACCATTGCCTAACGTTCTAGCGTTGACGGCATCATCCCCAAAGGTCTGGCAAATTCGGTGACTTGATTCTGCTGCTGACACACCCACCTTAAAATCATACAGCAAACAACTCCGAATGAGTACCTTTGATGCATCCATTTCAATCAGTCGCTGTGTGAATTATGTTTGAAACACTGATGTAACATGCTTTTATAGTCTTGGTCAATGTCCTGACTCCCATCCTAACCACTTCATCGCCTGGTTTGGTGACTACTTTTATGCTGAAGTTCACTCTTCCAAAGTCATATCAGAAACGGCAAGAACGGTTTTGGTTACCTTGTATTATACAGTAACTAGTCACACATCTTCAACATTATACCTATGACTTTACTCTCTTGAGAGCAAGTGACAACTCCAACTTTGAAAATGTCAATATCCATTAATTAATTTATACAATTATAATGTACATATTTTATGTCCTGTACTTAGAAGTAAAAAAGAATATGAAGCTCATGAACAAGTTATCATGAATATTATCGATGGTTTATCGTCAGGTACTGACTATTATATAAGCACCAAAGTTTTTAATATTTTGCAGACATCTGAGATATATCCACAATCCAATGTAAAGTGTATAAAGGTGGATAGATCGTTTACTATTGCAACAATGGGTTAGTGAATACGTTAACACATTTTATTAATAAACCTGGATAAAATATTCAGAATCTGCATATATCTGCAAAATTACAATTAAAAGTCAATTTTACTTACATTAAAGGTGTAGTCATTATAAAACATACCTTGATTTAAATATGTCATTGTTTCTTCATTAATTTTTGTTGCAATAGATGTAGCTGCTCCTAAAACATACTGAAATCCAGTATTCTTTAAGTTTGGAGATATATCTCTGATCATAAAGGGTGGAGGAGAATCAGATATCGTAAGGATTTGACTTATCATACTTGGACTTAACATAGAAACTGTTGTGAGTGATGGCGAACCAGTTGTTCGAAGATCTGGGACTGAAGAGCTATGTCTGCACCTATAGTTAAAGATGTCATTAAAGATGACGCTAAAATTACAAAAGAATAATTAAAAATTACACAAGAATAATTAAAATATGTAGCAAATGTATTTGTAAACTATTAAACAATTTTAACTGCAATCAAAACCTGTGATTTTTTTTAATTGCATAAGACAGAAAACAAATATGAGACTAGCGGGCAAGACCGCCAGCTGAGCGGGCTGAAGCCCGCTTTTCATTGTTCGTTTTTAAAAGAGTTCGCATATTAAAATTCGCCGTTTTCGAAAGTTGAACCGATCTACCAGTGTCCAGCGATTTTAACTGGTTTATTCCAGTATGCATCCATAAGGTACTGCATACACCTTACACATGCGGAAAGTCACGAAAACACCCATTCAGCCATTCCGTTCCCCGGGATTCGAAAGTTGACCGAACTATCAGTGTTCATCGGATTTACGCGGGCTTCGCCCGCTTTATTAACGCATGCATCCAGAACATACTGTATGCACGATACACATGCGTATAATCACGCAAACACCCATGGAGTCAGCCCGTACCCCGGGAATCAAAAGTTGGAACGAACTACCCGTGTTCAGCGGTTTCGCGCGGGCCGAGCCCGCTTTATTTTTTTTATTTATTTTTTTTTTTTAGTTTAACAGATCTCGATCATATTATTATCTATTAAACTGTACATCTTTTTAAAATCTATATAATATTTTACTGAAAGAAGTTAAAAAATTTAAGACAAGTGGTTTATTAATATATGGATAACTTCATTTATGACTTAGTAAAAACGGAACTCTATTTCAGCTTTGATACTCTATGAAATTTTACAAGGACATAAATTATATTATATAAAATAATTTTATGTTAGTGTACATTTGGTACTAATGTATTATCCCATCAACTGTGAAACTGTTGCCAAGAGACCCAATTCAGCTCTGATAATGGATAAGCACGATGTCACAACACATTGCTATATGCACTTTTGTTTGCACACAACGCTAATTGATTCTCAATGAACCAACTTTTGTTTTTATGAAAAAGGATATAAATGTGGGATGCCTTCCATCCCCATTGAAAGATGGCATTATCACATTCTTGCTAAGACCACAGCCATTGGGAATACAGTCAGTCGCCTCCGAGGAGAGAAAGAGGACTACAGTGAAGAGGATGCTTGAGATAAAACCAGATGGCAGATTATGCATAGACATCCTCCAATGATTCAGTCTCACTCACAGCTCAATTAATTAGTGACAATAGTTGTGTCATCAGAAGTGCTATATTCTATAGAATTCAAATGTGCTTGTAGCCATCAGTCACGATTGCATCTATTTCTTCCATATAAAGTTTTCAACATCCATTGTACATAAGTATCAATAAATGTGTATGTCTACAAGGCGGAATTCTTTCTTAAAAATTTTTCAAGACACTTACATAAATTAAATGTTGCTGCTTTACTTTTTCCCTTGCATTCTGAAGCTGGATAATGAAGCAGATAAGTGATTATTTATTAAATAAAGAAGCATCAGTTCCTTCAGAATTCCACAGAAATAATTTTATGCAAGGCAACAAATCTCTGGTAACTTTCATGGTTCAGTGGTAGCCAACTTTTACAGTGAATGGGATAATATGTAAGGGTATTTTTGGCTGACATGAACATTTATTTAACATCAAAATTTCTACCTTGAACTTTGAGAGCTATCAGTATTTTCTTTGTCTTCACTACTAACACAGAACCGCTTAATGGCACTTGAAACATCTTCATCTGCACTCAATGGAAGCCGAGTTTTCTTGGCTTGAGCAGAGCACGTGGTTCTTATAGGTTCTACAGGTGGAAATGGACTACCTCTGGATGGTGAAGTATCACTACAGTTAAAAGGAAAATTAGTTAACTACAAAATAAAGCATGTATTTAAAGCAATAAATTATAATGCATGTATTTTATATCCCATACTTAGAAGTAAACAAGCATATATAAACATATTAAAATTTTCAGTAATAAGACTACATTTAAATTTGACTCAAAAAACAACTTTTAAATGTAACAATTACAGTTGATATCAACAATCTAATAGAACATCCCACTACAGCATATTAACTTTATTTACTCAACATATTTTTATTATTAACTTATTTCTATAATCTAACTTATTTCTATCTTCTTATAATTAACTTATTTCTTTTTTAAAAGCAATAAATTAAAGGCATTTTTTTAAATTTGAAAAATGAATTCAAAAAAATATATTTACTCATTTTTGGGGTGCAGGAATATCTGCAGTTGAAACACTTTGAATGAGAGAATGTAATGGTGCACTAAAACAAAAAAGAATGCTTTAGAAATTTAATTTTACAATTCAATCACAAGAAAATATACATGAAATGAGGAAATAAATATTTTAATATTAATAATATATATAAGTATGTATGTATGCGTGACAATGCTTAAATTCACTGAGAACCCAATGCAGACCACTCCAGTACTTGAATAAAAATTTAATTCCTGCATTAATTGAGCATTTGTATTTTAATTTATTATCTAACCTTTGTCGTTAATTTCATTTATTATTTTTATTCATTTATTTACCTTTTACTTAATTTTATTATTCATTATTTTATTTCTTTAATACTGATTAGCTATTAGGCTTTCCATACAGCCCCAGCACTTCTAATTTAAAAAATTTAGCGCTGGTATGTGATGAAATTTTGGACTTGATTTTGAAGACAATGATAATAAAGTTAGGTGATTTTATACAATGAAGATGCATTAGTGATCAGCTAATACAATGTTTTATTTGTGACACAATTATTTAAATAAACACCTAGTACTAAACTGCAGGAAAGATTGCCATTTAGTTCCATAATTACAAATGTACACACTATATGCTAGCTGGATAAAAAGTGGTAAGGGAAAAGCAATATTACACTCCCTCCATACAAAAATATGCATTACAAAAAGCTGTAAAAATTAATAAGGCATAATGAAAGAATTATAATAAAGGGTCTTTATGTCTAAATTCATACAATGTCAAGTTGCTAATCATACAACTGAGATATATTTGACTGGTGTTTGATTTCGCCTCTATCAAAAATACCAGTTTCTATGGTGTGATTACAAAGTTATAATACAGGACCTGTAAATGCTAAAAAGGACCTGTAAATTTGACAAAACTAGACAAATTTGATAATGCTAGATGAAGGAGAACCCCACTCACCTTGCAAAAGCAAACTTTTTATCACCAAAGTCATGTTTATGGCTTATATTGCCTGACCTTATGATCCTTATCCAATTCAATTTTTTGATAGAAAAATTGGAATATGGTTCTTAGTGTATCATGAACAGGATAAGCCAAACTCAAGACAAGAGACCAAAAGAACCTTGATAATAAAAAAATTAGGAATACAGGTGGAGGAAATTCTTATCAGATTCCTCATATTAATAATACTTAGCTTTATCACCAGAGATGGTTACCAGGCACTTTAAGCTGAACTTCATTTATGCACTTACTCAGTATTAATTACAGCTGTAAGAATACCATAATTTTAGGCAAAAATAAATTCTAAATATATAAAATATTGTTGGACAGATGGAGTATTACTTAGATTAGACTGAAAATGATAAAGTAGCTTTAACCACTTCCCTGTTTTGCCCGAACACTGTTCGGGTACTTGAAAAGGGGCTTTCCCCTGTTTTGCCCGAACGCCGCTCGTGTGACTGATTTTTTTTCCTCTATTGCAATGATTTGCCCAAATTTTATGCTTGATTAGTTTGCAATGCTTCCAACAGATGACTCTAGTAGTCCAGTAAAGATCTGATTGCAAATCCGGTTTCTAGTTTATCTTTTACGCGGGAAAGTTGCCATTTCGTTTTGACTCAATCTGCTTACTATACAGCTCGCTGCAAATTCTATTTCTTTTGAAGCTGAAAAGTAGAAGAATGAGTGATTTTGAACATCTCATAACAGATGATAACTCTTACAGTGGATCAGACAGTGAATCTGAAATTTCTATAAATGATTCTGGAAGTAATGAAAGTTCCTTCTCGGACTTTCAAGTGATGAGGAAACGGAAAGTTCGGATGACCTAACTCAAGTTCGAAACTTTTGTGAACTAGATATAACAAATCTTCCTTTACCTCTACCTCGATTTCCATTCACAGCAAATCCAGCTGTTCATGTAAATATTGATCTAAGTAATGGAACTCTACAATTTCTTGATATTTTCTTTGATGATAATCTTCTTGAAATTATAGTTTCTGAAACCAATAAATATGCAGGACCATTCGGAGTAGTAATCTACGAAGGAAAAGCGGAGCAAAAAAAAAAAAATGGGAACCAACAACAAAGCGCGAAATTCAAGTGTTTCTTGCTTTGGATATTTTACAAGGAATTGTGAAAAAGCCTGAAGTTGAGCAATACTGGAGTAAGAGACATTCAACATCAACTCCATTTTTTTCCAAAATTATGTCTTACCGACGCTTTTATCTTATTCACTGATATTTACATATTTCTGATGATAACGAATTTGATGCTAAAATACATGAGTGTCCAAACCTGCAGAAGCTGTGGCCGATCATCAAGCATTTGAATACTCGTTACCGAGAAACTATCACACCTGAAAGAGATGTTACAATCGATGAGAGTTTGATGCTGTACAAGGGAAGATTACACTGGAAACAGTATATACCTCTAAAGAGATCATGTTTTGGCATAAAAAGTTTTATTTTATGTGAATCGAAGTCAGGTTATGTGTATCAACTTATTATATACACTGGGAGAGATACACTTTTTGATGATAATTACCAGCATTTGTGCAAGTCCTCTCAAGTAGTGATGACACTTATGCAGCCACTATTGAAAAAAGGATACTGCCTAACGACAGACAATTATTACACATCACCAGAACTTGCAGATATCCTTATCAACCATCAAACAGATATATATGGAACCCTCAAACTTACCAGAAAGGATGTCCCAAAAGAATTACAGAAGAAAAAATTAAAATTAGGAGAAATCTGTGCGTACCAAAGAGGGAAAGTCTGTCTAATGAAATGGATGGATAAGAAAGCTGTATCTCTATTATCCACAATACACAACCCTATAATGATTGAAGTTCCATCTTACAAGGATGAAGTCAGAAAGAAACCAAAGGTAGTGAAGGAATATAATAATACCATGGGAGGTGTTGATAGAATGGATCAGCATCTCACCAATTATCCAGTCACAAAGAAGAGAGGAAAGAAATATTACAAAAAAATATTCTTCCACCTTTTAGATGTATCGCTGTGGAATGCATTCGTTTTATACCAGAAGCATGGAGGAAAATACTCGCATTTGAATTTCAGACTTGATATAATTGATCGCCTGATTGAAAGACACGGGACTGTAAATGAAAAAAAAAAGGACGACCAGGAATTTTGCCCAATCCCTTACGATTGACTGAAAGGGACTTTTTAGAAGTGATTGCTCCCAGCGACAAAAAACTGAGACCAACGAGGCAGTGCTTTGTGTGCTGCTCTAAAAGAAACGATTTCGGAAAAAAGAGTGAGAAAAGAAACTAGATATTTTTGTCCCGACTGCGATGTTGGACTACGCTTGTCACTGTGTTTTAAAATTTTTCATACAAAAGCTGAATTTTAAAAGATATTAGATGTAAGTATAATAATAAATTCTCTTTTCTAATATCCATTTCTGTAAAGTGTTTCCCAGATCGCTTATTTCACCGGAAAAAAGCCAACTTCAAGTAAAAATGTAATTTTTCGTTGTAAATAAAAATTATCATAACTTCATAAATTCAACACTTATAATAGTTTTGACTCTTGATTTGAGTTTCTATAATCGATTTTAAAATAAAATTGTTTTTGAAAAATATGCTTATTTTTTGACACAATATGTCAGAAAAAAGAGACTGTTAAGTGGTTCATTCTCAATAGAGACATATAGCCTCAGCTTTTGTTTAGTAAGAACTTTGGCTTGAATATTATTAGGGGTACTACTTTAGTTTCACTTTTCTATTATAGAAGTATACGACACCAGCATTATATACAAATCATAAGATAGTCTCGAGATAATACACTTCAGGAAGATTTATTACATGCATTTTATTATTTTTAATACAGAAAGGAGATGTGACCCCATTAAAAAGGAGACTTCAGCAGCTGTTACAAAATAAAATTTTATCTGCTAGTATATATAATACATATTAGAAAAACACAAAATATGTAAAAAAATAAATTATTATTTAAATTAGCAGTGCAAATTAATTTCCCTTCTCTATTCTAAAAATGGTAATCTCTCTTTGCAATGTATCATTTCGAGACTATTCCATGCCATATGACTCTTACATAATTCTGATGATGCAAAGGGAACTAAAACAGCCGATCATAATTTTACAGCAGTATTAATTATCCAATAAAAATGTACTGAGAAACAAAAATAACTCCGTCTGAATTAAAATTTCATTCTGAGCACAACGTACTTGCTTTCTACTCTTCAGCCTAGCTGGACTGCTGCTCTCTTTTTTATTGCAAATCTACCAAAAATGTAAGCATTTTAAATAGGCACAAATAATGTGCCAGGGTGTTTGTGGCTGCAACATGTTTACTGAAAATAAAATGAAGATTTAACCATGGCTGCCAGTTTCCTATTCATTATGGATTAGCATCATACACAATCAAAATTCTTGTTCTTCATTGTGAATTCAACTTTCTACATTCTACACCATCAATACTGCAAAGTCCTTTTTTATTACATATATATATATATATATATATATATATGTAATGTTTTTGAAATGTAGTCTTGATGGCAAAGTGGGAGGCTCGGAAGATAAACAGATGACGCTGACACAAAAATGAATTAGACAGATTCCCAATCTTTATTTCCACTCACATAAAATCATCTCAGTACATATTTATCCAATCATAATGAAATCTGATACATTTCTACAATTCAATCATAATGAAATATGATAAATTTCTATATACACTGGTTTTTAACAAGAAATGACGTAGGCAGTTAAGCAAAGGTAAAGCGACGCAATGTTGACAGAGCAGCAGTTAGGGAAGGAAAGAATGATGCAATTAATTTGCTAGCAGTATTTATACTCTGATGTAACTGTACAGACAAACTATGATAAGTTAATTTGAGGTTGTTACTTAACATAGAATGATCTCGAATTTGGGAGAATAGATGAATTTAGGGGGAGAGTACCAAATATAGAATATTAATTTTGAGGTCACCAATTATTTTTAAAGCAGCTATGGTATTTTCTTATATCTCACATATATATATTCCTAAACACAGCTTTACCATTTTGAAATACAACACTCCACATATATTAACTGCCGTGTGAAATTTAATGGAATCCCAGCCTGGATGAGGCAACATATTAATATTACTACTAGTTTCATATAGAATGATGAAGCATTCGCAATTAACACAAAAATATTAAGCTTTCGAATAAATAACTGCATCAAGCTACCCATTTTAGCCTTTAAAATGTTGGTAATTTATAATCAATTTTATTAATAATACATTACACTAAATTTATAATACAGCCTCAATTCATAGCATTCACTAACGAAAGTTTTTTCACCAAATAAAACAAATGCTTTCAGTTTAGTTAGAAATAAAACATTTCATGTTACTTAGACAGATAAAATAAAATATATATCCATAAGATAAATTATACAACAGGACATTTCTATAGCCAATTTAATGCTGTTTCTAAGAATAACAGCTTCTCTTACCTCATATCATAATTTTCTGTTCCTAATTCAATACCCAAACAAGATAAACTGCCTTCAAAATCTGCAGCTAGAGCTACATCAATAGCATCGCCAGTCCAGCTCTGAACAGTGGACATTACGTGTCAGTTAAAATCTAAAAGAAAATTAAAGAGTTTAATTAAGCATGAAATTCAGTTATTCCTACCACTTACCACCGATTTTATTTTCCCATTCCAGACATTGCTCATTATGCCCACAAAAATCTTGTATAAAACATATTTCACAATACAAGCACAAATAAGAAACACATTTCTATTACAAGTGCCAAAAGACCACGAATTAGGAATTATTAAAAGTCAGTACAAAATCAGTACTTAAATTCAAATTCTTTTCCTTGGAAAAGCAAGAGTATATAATTTTTAAAAAACTGACTCAAATAATTAAACAAAGCAAACATAAATGACTATTAATAGTAAAAGAGATGATCCCAACCACAACCAAAATAAAAAAATAATTAAAAAAATAAATAAATAAAAAATAAAGTTTTTTTACAAAAAGAAATCACGATAATTTTCTAAGCTATGAAAATAATTATTACAAAAATATACCCAAAAGAAAGTTTTTTTTAAAACATTAAACATATTCAAGATCATTTGTAATTTCACGGACTAAAAGCAAAAATTTGACAAATGGTACAGAAGTCACCCCTTTATGGCTTTTGAAAAGTATGTATATTTTATTTCTTCACAAACATTATTAAGATCACAAATTCTCAAACAATTTGTTGAAGCACATGGAACTCATACTGCTTAGAGATTAGAAAAATGAAAACAGCCCCAACGTGACTTTGCACTCATTAGTAATATAAAACTAGATGAGTTGCAGACACAAAATGCTCATTAGAAACATTTTGAATGACGTAATTAATATGACATTTTCACGTACATCATCTTTCGCATGTATAGCAGTAATGCACTATAGCAATTCATTAATGAAATAACCTTGATTTTACTTTATAGGTAATTTTACAAAAAATAAAGTGATTTCAGATGTACGAAATCGTATTTTTGGATGCAAATAATGAAAAATCAAACCAAGCTAAATATATAAAAGATAAGAAAATTTATATAGAGCAGGAAGTTAGGAGAAACATATTATAAATCCAATAGTTGAAAGAACAGTCAAAAATCAGAAGTCTCTTGCCTAATTTGGGAAAGATTACTTTTCTGATCTACTTTAAACAAAACTAAAACATAATTTTGTCACTACCATATGAACGCACACAAAAATCTAATATAAGAGTGTAGAATATTTACAGGGAAGTTACACTTTCATTAACTCAGATGTTATTAAGCCATACATTCATAATTTAACAGACATTTTTTAGAAGTAATGCTTATAGGTATTAAAATGAAGTAATATGAGAAGAAAAATGATGCACAAGGAAAGAAGGAAAACACATAAAATATGTTTCTTAAAATTTTTTAGATTTGTGCTATCAAAAAAGCCTTTCAATTTATTTCTTAATCCAAAGAAGTAGATAAAATACTTAAAAGAATACGACATTAAAATATAAAATAATTTTAAAAAAAAAAGTAAAAACTGATTACCTTAAATTCCCTTCATTTACGCCTTTCTTCACAATGACAAAAACATTTAATTTTTTAGTCAATACAAATATGTATTTATTATTTTCTTAGCAATTTCTTTAATAGGTTTATAAATGAAGGAATGAAAAAAACCAAAAACAAATATCGAAATTTAACAATGCTAGCTCTAATAATAGAGAAATTTCCTATCTCGAAGTTCTATCTTCTTCTCCTTCTTCCTTGGCTAAAATCAACAATTTGGATAACCTAACTTCTCATATGTTTTTTCCCCTAAAAGCTTCTTTGACTTCCTATTCCATGGAGAAAAACCTTGCTATGTCAATGTCACAAAATAGATACCTCGCTAAAGGAACATAAATTCTACTTCTTCCAACATAAATTACGTAATTAAACATTTTTGAAGCTTTATGCAAAGTCAGAATGAAGGGGTTTTTCACTCTAACAGTATTACAAAGAACTAGTATATATTATAAGAGTTGGTGAGCAATTTCTCCAGTGTCTTTACTGGCAGTGACATTCTTATGGCACAGAGAAGTATTTGAGTAAATAATTTTCTTTTTCTTCCTATAACAGTCAAACAACTTTATCTAATGCACAATACTTTTAAGGAAGGAGAAGCAAGTTGTTTTAAGAATAAGAACTGTTTCAAAAAGTTAAAATGGCTAATTCAACTAAAATTACTTAACATGGCCACAAAAATAAGAGTAAAATGGAAAAAACAGTCATTTGTTAATAAAAGTCGTAATTCTTCAAGCTAGAGGGCGACCAAGCTTCAATGAAAAACGAAAAGGCCCGTTTGTTAATAACAGGAATAGAATTGGCCATCAAAGTACTTTAAAACTATTTAAACAATAGTATTAAAAGTATTGTGGCAAATGGTGTGGAAATTTTTATGTTTTTGAACTTTGTATGCTTATAGAAAATGTTACGTTTCGCAAAATGCAAACTTCTATATATCATTTTAAAGAGAATTTATTACTGAATTCAATTATATGCAATACAAAAAAGTTATATGTACTTTAATATAAATAAAAAACACAGTTATGAAGTGGTTTGTAATGTATAGCTTTCCTGGCCAATCACTGTTCTTGTTATGAGAACCAATCAAATGTTAGTAACTGCCAGTAGAAGCTGACATCATGTTTACACTTAAAACAATTCATTATTTTGTGTTGTTCTGTAGAAGGAGGACCTGTTTCTTATACAGTCAAAAGTCGTTAATTCGGACACCCATAATCCGGAATGATCTATAATCCGGACCTCAAAGCTAAAAACTTTCTGCACATGCGCACAGGCGTTTTACGCATGCGCGTAAGACCTTGACTACTGTGCATATGCGTGTGCACAAGTACAGAATATATGTGTATATGCGTGAATATATGTGTATATGCTTGTGCGCATATGCGTGTGCACAAGTTTTCGCCTGCGTGTTTAATTGTATAACAGACGGTGTAAGCTAAAATTATCTAATTATCTATTTCAGTTAATGTTAATGATTGCGTTGTTCCTTAATCTTCGAATGGATCCCGTTATTATTTTTTTGCAGACTGTAAAGAGAATTTTATAAAAGTAAACTTGAACTTTCGATTATGTCAAATAGAATTCCGATGCTGGAACTTCCAAAGGATCTACAAAACGAAAGTATGTTTCGATGTCCAACAAACAAAAGTGTAATTGCTGCAAAAAAATGGATAAGACATGAAGAATGTGACAGAGAAGTTAGTGAAACACAAAAAAATTCGATTGACAGTTTAGTCGGTATTCTCGGCACAGCAATTAACGGGACTTGAACAGCGGAAACTTTGTAACTGAACAAGAAATTATGTCTTTTATAGAATTAAAGAGAAGTATTATCACATAAAACGAAGCAACTTAAAACAACTTACATTGAAAGAATGTTTAATAACGTAAACAAATAAATTAAGCTTTTTTTTTTTTTTTTTTTTGGTAAATTTGATACCTTTGATCATAATTGTTTTTTATTTCATAAATTACGGTTTCATATTTTTAATTAGAATTCTGCATGCCATCTTACGAGATTTAAACTGATGATCTATAATCTGGAAAATCGATAATCCGGAATCGCCGAAGTCCCGACGAGTCGGATTAACGACTTTTGACTGTAAACTGCAATTGCAAGTAGGAATTGTTGTAAAAATTTTTAATATTTAGTCAGAAGCAATGATATCAAAAAAAGTAGATTGGACACCTAGAAAGAGATGTATATTATTATATACGAAAGTGTCTTTCTATGCGAAAATGCAAAAAGGGTGGTGGTTCAGTGACTGCTCTGAGTCCAAAAGTTTTGTTTATGATATCAGGAGACAAATTCAATCAAAACAGAAGAAAAGGCTGAAAAGGTGCACCAACATCTATTGATGACAGAAGAATAAAAAGACTATGTCTCAAGATAGAAAAAGTCATCAAACGGCCATCAGAAGAGATCTGAATGATGCTGTGTTTCTGTCAGTTCAAGAACAATCAGGAGAAGATTAACAGATGCTGGATTCCACGAAAAAAAAGCCTTATCTTAATTTCAATATATGAAAGATGGTTTCGTACAAAGAGCATTAATTGTTGTCATGCCAGGAAACAGTCCTGACCTTACCTCAACCTATCAAAAATTTTGTGGCACCGTTGAAAACTCTTGTCCGAATGAGGGCCATCAAATGAAAGGGAACTAATTGAGGCTATAATTGTTTCCTGGCATCATGTAATAACTAAAAGAGCTTAAACTCTTGTCAGCTCAATGAACGTCGATGTGAAGCTGTAATCAAAATAAAGGATACCCTACTAAGTCTGATAACTACTGCAATCTCAAATCTAATGTATATAACTATCGTTTAACTTTTTTTTTTTTTGTATTGCAAATAATTGAATTTTGGTTTTGTATTGAATTCAGTAAAATTCTCTTAAAATGATATATACAAGTTGGCATTTTGTGAAACGAACGTTTTATAAGCATACAAAGTTCAAAAACATAAAAATTTCCAAAAGGTCCACAATTTTGGCCACACTGTATATAATACTTTAATATATATATAAAATACTAGTGTAAATGTGCCCCGACATCTTCGCTTTTATGCATGTTAATTAAAAACTATTTGTATAAATTTTACTACATAAATTGCTTTTCACTCAAAATTTATAAAGAATCTTGTATTAGTGAAAATGCTTAATTAAGAATGAGCTCTTTGGTACTGTACTTTGGTTCTACATCCCATCACTTCATGAAACTACAATTTTGGCCTAACTTAATTTGCCAGTTTGGCATAACCATTCTTACTTGAGTAAAAGACGAAACGCCTTCGTATTTATTAATTATGTTAATGAACGGGATTGGTTTGTTCCCCTTGAAAAGTAATTAATTAAGATCATAGCATAATTACTTGCTTTTATTATATTTCTTTTCAACGTTTGAAATTTTTATTCATGATTTATTCAAGTCCCCGTAAGCATTTTTAATAATTTACATCAAGTTACTTAAACCAATTTTCGGAAATAAACTTCCTACATATGGGTTCATCTTTTTTGATACTTTACTAAATTTATATTAGGAGATAATATAATATTTCTTTAATAGAATATTTAGTAAATAAATTATTATGTATATACATATATATACAGTCAAAAGTCTTTAATCCGGACCTCAAAGCTTCAAACTTTCTGCGCATGTGTAGATGCATAATGTGTTTACGCATGCGCATATGCATTTATGCATGCTCATAATACATTTACGCATGAGCGTTCAATGTATAATGGACGGTATAAGCTAGGCTAAAATTATCTATTTCAGTTAATGTTGCAGATTGCTTTGACCCTTAATCTTCTAATTGAATCCAGTTTATTATTTTTTGTAGATTGTTAGAGCAATTTTATAAAAAGCAAGCTTGAACTTTCGATTATGTCAAAAAGAGTTTCCGATTCTGGAGCTGCCAAAGCATCTACAAAGCGAAAGCATGTTTCGATGTACCGCTTCTGATAGTGAAGAAAGTGACACAGAGGTTATAGAAAACGAAAAAATTTCGATTGACAAGTTAGTCGGTATTCTCGGCACAGCAATTACAGGACTTGAACAACGGAACTTTGTAACTGAACAAGAAATTATGTCTGTTTATAGAATTAAAGAGAAAGTATTAGCACATAAAACAAAGCAACTTAAACAACTTACATTGTAACAAATGTTTAATAAAGTAAACAAATAAATATTAAGCTTTTTTTTTTTTTTTTTTTTTTTTGTTGTTGTTGTAAATTTTGCTACCTTTAGTTCATAATTGTTCTTTATTTCATAAATTACGGCTTCATATTTTTAATTTTTTAATTTCTGCATGCCATCTTACCAGATTTAAACTGATGATCTATAATCTGGAATCGCCGAAGTCCTGATGAGTCCAGATTAACGACTTTTGACTGTACTATGATTCTTACTGGAATGTAGGCTTCTTTTAAATAAATAATATTGTGGTAGTTACTGGCAGGTTATCTATAAATATTTTTCCTTTATTATATTCTTACTGTTACTGGGTCCTTCGAGATTTAAATTATTCACATAATTCTCCCCTCTTGACTCTTGACTTTGCAATTTATAATTCACCTATGACTCATGAAAGATTACTTTGGCAGAGTTATAATGCTTACATTTAGTACAAATTCAAACAAAATTTTATGCGAATTTTTCTCCAAGCTGTCAGTGAAATTAAAAGATTTCCTTCTAGCATAGCAGTGTGTGAAAGATATTTTAATTCTTCTTTGGACTACGAAGATTTTATTGGTTACTTCAAAAATACCATGAAGTGTATAATAATACTTAATAATATTAAATTTAATTTATGTGCATGAATTACAGTCACATCTACAAGAATTAAGATCCTTATAACTCTCTTTGATTTCAAACCCATTTTTCAATAACAGAAATTCATATATTTGTCTTTTAAGACAAGAAACCATGCATAACCAAAACAATTACTCAAAACTTAAATTTTATGTATCAGAATATACAATTTTATGGTTTTAATAGAGTTAAACTATGACCTGAAATGCCTTTATTGGGTATTAATGCTCAGAGTAAAATGCTAAAATGAAGCCCATGTAAATTTAGGTTAAGTTTTAACTTAAAAATTCTTTCCTATATGATCTTTTAATCTATGGAAACAAAAAAGAATATAAGATTAATGAATATTTTAAAAATCAGTAACATGAGAAGATATGCTTATACGAATTTCTAAAGTTTCAAAAAATTTTACTTATTAAAAAATTTAATCAGAAGAAGGGAAAGAACTGAAAGATAACTATTTTTAAAGTTTGCTTAAATAAAATTCAGTCTGTTAAGATAATAAAAATTTGCATTGTTTTTCTGAGGCTCTTAAGAATTATTAAGGCGATTATATTTTCTATGATCCTAAATGCCATACACTTAAAAAAAAAAAAAAAAAAAAAAGTAGTTTATTTTCTCCCCTTCTCCGAAGGGCAGATTATCTGGTCACCTTGTTTCATTCAGATTTTATAATAAGCCACTAAACTTCACTTGAAATCCTTGCAGATTAGCCACATTTATACGAAAATTCAAATATTTTTTCTGATTTATGACAAAATTTTAAAATTGGTTTGGTATGTTTTTAATACATATAGTTATTCATTAAAAAAGGAGTTTTCAAAATTGCTTTAGCTGTTACGATCATTTGGCCTGCAGCCCCTGGCTATGCATCAATGGCTGGACTGATATTCTCATTTTTTCATTCATTCTCTTTTTTTTTAATTCAAAAACATAATCATGTTGTGCTTTTTTTTTTTTCTTTTAGAAATTTATAAATTACCAAATGGCATTCCATTGATTCAACAGAATACAATAGTTTATCGAGATACAATTTAGAATTCTTTTCCAAAAATTATTTTAAAAAAATTTTTTCTTTAATTGCATTTATATTTATTATAACTGACTTGTTGCCTACTTTATGCTTTTATATCTATTAAGTAAAGGATAGTTTCTAAAAGTAAAATGAATAATCCTTCCCCTCTAGTAGATAGTAAAATAAGGTACTTTTCCATTTCACCGGTGCAAATCTCGCCAAGCAAACTTTATTCGCGACAACACACAGTATACATAAATAAAAGATGTTGAACAAATGTTAGTTTCTAAGAATTTTTTTTGAAGGCATAAACATTTTAATATCATTTAACATTTTGTAAAAAAGCCAATAAATAAAGACAATAAATTTGTAAAAAGACATTAATTTAAGAATTAGCTGTGTCTTCATGGTACAAAATCCTGATTCATCAGTTCATATCACGTGACCCCAAGTGATGTCATCTCATGTAAACTACGCTACAAAAATCTAATTCTCTCAGTAATTATCTACATTAATAGTTTACACAGAAATTATGTAAAACCTTAGTACTTTACTTCGCTAGTGCATTCTAATTAGAATTGATGAATTTAACCCTTGACTTAACCTTTTCTATATTTTCACCATCGGGTGAGCAGTGTGATTGCATCCTAATCGACTTAATTACTGCCCGCGAATAGCCTTAGGGCATAAAATTGAATTATCTGGTAAAAATTCTATGTAATTGTATGCCAGTATTGAAAGAAACAATCTATCTGATATGAAATGGCTGTGGCTTGTTTTGAAAATGAGGAGTAAAAGGTTACCAGCAAGGATATTCTGTTTGGCATCAATTGTACCATTATTGGCGACTTTATCGCCTACGCCGGCAAAATGGAAAAGTAATTTCAGTGCGTAAATTACTGTGCATGAATGCATATAAGATGTTTAAAAAAAGGTAAGATAAAGATTATCATAGAAGGTTACAATATATTTTACAATTTCATAAATAACTTACCAACAGAGACGGATGAAGCTAAAACAGAGCTGAATACCTCAGATCATTTTCTCATAACAGATGTCTGAAAATTGTAAAAGTTTATTTAACTAACACAGTATATTTTAAATAATCCATTAAATAATTTCTTAAAATGAAAATCTTGAAAATCAGTCAAAATAAAGTGTTTACTGTTTTGTGCCTTTTTATGAGTTGCATTCATAATTCAGCAAAATCTCACTAATATTACCACTTACAGTTCTAAACGATTTTTGTCTTTGGTAAAGGACCAAGGTTTGGACTTTGTACCGTACGTACAGAAAAATATACAACTTTAATGAAACTTGGCTAAAAAAATGTTGTAAAGCTTACTCATTTTGAGAAACACAATTTTACTGTATATGACGTTGGCTCCTAATCAGTATAGTGGTTAACAATGGTAGTTTCAATATCATTGGGCCTAAGTTCATATCCTGAGAAGGCATGCATGTTTCTGATGTGTATATATTGTCTGTGTAGAATGGGTGTGGTTAAAATACTGGTCATCTTGAGCAATTCAGTGTTAAAGAAAGAAGAGTAAGGAAATTCGGTACTATTCCGTTTTGAAGACCGTAAAAAAATTGCAGTGAAAATGTATGCGCAAAAGCGCCAAATCTAGCAAACGTGACTATTTAATAGCGTGCCAAATCAAGCGGACGCGCTGATTTCAGATTGCGTAAGTTTAAATAGCTCTATATTTCTCAAGCCACCGTTCAAATAATAGTTTAATTTTTAAATCCTTTTTTTGATATCCTATGGATTTAACAATTTGGGAATTGCCCATGACAAAAAGTGTGCAATAGAATTTTGGTAAAGTGTAGAATCGCCCACTGCTTGACGCGTTTTTAAGAATTGCACATACTCGGTAACCATGTACACATCGACCTATTTTCACTTCAAACATATCCCAGAATTGCACAAAAATGACATTGTGCCCAGCCTTGACTTTATCTATGCACACATCAACCTATTTTCACTTAAAAAGTAAAAGAAAATTGACAAAAATCCAATTGTTTTTACCCTTGTAAAAAGCAGAAACAAATAAGTGGGCGATTCTGCACTTTACCGAGAATTGTTTCAAAGAAAAAGCATCATTCATTATAGAAAATTATGTTTGAACAACCAAAGAGATGAAATTATGCTTTAGCCATAACTTGGTAGTGTAATAGCGATGCAGGCATTCATTCAGTTATGTATAGCCCTTTTTATATAAATTATAATAATAAAAAAGTATTATAAGATATTAACCTTTCATCTAAATTAAAACATCAATCTTTGTTATTTACTATTACACTTTTTTCTTACTTTAGGGTTGCTGCAATTATTTTTGGCAGCACTGGCATCAACAATAGTTGGTGATTTTTTACAGCCCTCAAAACCGAATAGTACCAGAAATTCTTAAAGAAAATTACGATATAGCTAATATATCTAGTGTGATTGTGAAATTCTTGTGTCCCATCCATGTCTACCTGTGTATAAGATTTCATACAGTTGTACGCTTTTAAACTGCAAATACTACACAAAGTGAATTAGCTACATTTGCATTAAAATAATTTTAGCACTAATAATTTTAAAAAAATTACAAAACTTGAAATAAATAAAGAAACAGCTGTGATTGATCTTAAGATGTTTACTAACCTCTTCCTCCCGGAAAGTTGACTTTTTATTTTAATTAAGATGTTTAGATGCCCTCAAATGAAATTTAATGCTTTTTTTTTATTACAGTATGACTGTCCAATCTATTCCACTAAACATACCTTTTCCTGTATTATACTAATTCCTATACTTCTTTCAGATAACATATTTCCAAGAAAAACCAAAATCTATACTTAAAAAAAAAGTTTATGGTTAAAGTAGATTTAAGGGTGCCTCTTGTATTATCACGATGTTGTTTCATTTATTGCCAAGCTGCTGTTTCATTTATGGTAACCTGAGTAGATGAATGTTATGGAAATTATATTATGATGTAATTGGTTGCGTGATTGCGGTGAATTTGAATGATGGGAAAAGATTTGTAAGAGATTGTGGTGTGTGTTGGTTAGGAAGTGTGTTGCTGTTTTGTGGTTTAGAACCACGGTCACCAACCGGTGGTTCGTGAAAAATTTTTGATGGTCAACAGAAAAATTAGGACATAATTTATGCACCTTTTACGGACATTTTCCCTCATTATTAATTTTCTTTAATTTTTTGTATGGTTTTCAGATTCAAATAAAATAGGAAATAGGCACATAATGAATGAGAAAAAGCAGGCAAATATTTTGCATTTCTTTAATAAAACTAAAGATAGAATAACTAACTAGTATTACTTCACTTAACAGAGAGGTGATCAATGAATCAAAGCATCCACGTTCCTTGTCACGGTCAGACAGCATTAGAAAGAATGTTCAAACTGGAGGTGCAAATAAAAAACCCAAAATAACAAAAAAAATGTGATTCAGACTACTTGAAATTTGAATTTATTCCACAACCTGGTAGTTAGCTGAATTCATGCCTTTTTGGTATTATTTGTTCTCAGAGTTTATCTAATGATGCTATGAAACCTTCAAAACTCAAAAAACACTTGCCCAGAGGTAGGCTATGAAACTACCTGAATATTTTCAAAAAATGCATAAAAATATGCAAAAATAAGTAGGTATCTTAAAAATATGGTTGTTTAAGATAAGTCCCTATCAAAGGTTTTCTATATGATTGCACTTCAAATATCGAAAAACAAAAAGCCATATAAGATTGGAGAATATTATTCAAGCCTTGAATATTGCAAGCCCGTGAAGAGGTTTTGAGAGAAAAAGCTGTACAGAAACTGAAAGGGATCTTTAAACTGAAAGTAAGTCTACCAACACTGTTAAGGGAAGAGTTGAAGAAAAAGCTGAATATGATTGGACATCACTGAGGAGTTGTTGCAAAGGTGAAAAATACTAGTCACCCAGATTTTCGGAAATTACGAATAAAACATAATTAATAACATTCATCTGCTATTTATGAATAAGATTTCATTATATAAACGAACAACAGTTAGCACTCTACAATGAGTAACTTTGAATGACACTCTACAGTGAGTCTATCCATACGATAAACATCTTTCATAAGACACTACAGAAAGTAAGACTAAATAAAGTAAGTAAAGAGATCAGTATTCTGTAGAGACTTCTTATTTATGTTTAGATTGCTGCATCATGATTCCATACATCAACGTCTTCTATAAGGACGTTTAGCAAATATAGTAATCTGTAATATTCCCCACTAGTTTGGAAATACACAAAACCGTACGGCAAGCGTTTTACAAGAAGTCCATATCCACTTTTAATACTATTCAGTACCGAAGGAGGAAGGAGAAACTGACTACTTATCACATGTAGTCGATTTTTGATGCCACTTTTTAGATTAAGCCGCCCAGACGGGAAAGTGGTTAGTGCCGTACCGAAGGTCTGTACCTGGGTTCGAATCGCGGGGAAGGGATGGATGTAAATTGCCTGTCCTTTCACAGAAAGTAATGGTGATCGTCTATTAGGTGCCTCCCTAAGCAAATGAACGCCGCTTCTGGCCTTAATAATGGATAAAGCCTAAAATGGCTAGTGCCCACCATTTAAAAAATAAAATTTAGAAAAAAAAAAAAACTTTTTCATTAAATAACTTTCATAAAACAGTCGAAATATTAGTGTTAGGCAGTGATTTCACATTCATATTCAGCTAACTGCTTTTTCTAAAATTGTCGAATAACAATATTTTGCAGTGGATTCTGAAACCACTTGAGAAAAACACTTTCCTAAGATGCCGAATAACTAATGACCTACCTGTAATTTTATGAGCTTATAAAACACATGTTTAGTGTTCTGCGGATTCGCAAATATATTATATTTCAGTTTTTAATATAACTTAAAGCTTAATTAATTATTAATATTACCAGTAAAGTAATAATTTTATTCGAAAAAAGCACCCTTTCTTTTTGCAATGTTTATATCGGCTTTAAAAAATAAGTTACTAGCTGAAAAACAACCCTTCATTATATATTTCTTTTAATTTACTAGTTTTCGCAAAGTTGCTTTCACCTTACTTTTAGTGCTAATACATAATTTTTGCAAAAATATTAAATGTTGCGAAATAAAGTATTAGTTCTGATGCTCTATACAAAAAAAAAAAAAAAAAAAAAAAAAAAATTAAATAAAAATATTAGTTTTGATGCTCTACAAAAGAACATTTCCGGCATAAAATCATTACTCTGTGCAACAGAATAACTATACAAAGAACATGCTGCATATCCATATATCCTTCCTTACACCGGTCTTTTTCATGGAAAGTGAGTAAAACGGTTCCTCATATTTCGTGAAATAAATTAAGGGTGTCTTAAAATACACCTATATGCGATGAAGTCTTAGTTGGTGATTTTACTGCATGAACCTTAACCAAAAATTTTCGAAAGAATTTCTAAATTTCAGTCCTATGATGCTTAAAAAATAGCCAACTAGTGACAGAATCGCAGAAACCGAAGTCTCAGCGAAATAGTAACACAGGTAAAAAACTTGCAAAGCTCGATTACTAGATAAAAAAAAAGGTCATACATACAAGAAAAGGAATAATTTGAAACTGAAAATTAAAGTCACAAAATACGCAATCAATACTTAAGCAAGAGATGCAAAGAGGACTAAAATGAATTAAACTTCCGTACAGTGGAAACGGATGCACAAGGAAATCTGATCTGAATGTCTTATCAAATTATCAGCATGAAACATCTGCCTTTGTTCAAATCATCAAGTTCATGATCTTAATTTCCTAACACGCACTTTATTTTCTTTTTGTTAACTAAGTTATTATTATTATTATTATTATTTTTCAAGAAGTAGTTAAGCACACCCGAGCTTACGTTTATGTGCTGATTTACCGTGTGAAACGTAAATCTTGAACGAATAACTCAGTGGATTTCACAGACTCTTTAGAATCCTTCATTCTCCAAGGATGAAGCGATCCGCAAGATGAAGTAGTAAAAATTCTCATGTAAGTCTTCCTTGATATCGGAAAATTACTAATTCAAAGTTTCCTCCATAATAGAAATGCTGAAAA